TAACGTAAACCAGCATCTTACTGAGAGTAATGTTTTTTTTTACAAAGATGGACGGTTACACACAATATATGGATTATCTCATGACATGTATCATAAATGTATGCAATCTATAATGTAAACTTGTAGAATTTTTAATTAGACTGGATAACTTGAATTTCCAGCATCTGGCCGTTCTATTAACATTATTTTTCATGGATATAGTTTTTGTAAACAGCAATAAGAATATGATAATATCCGCAACATCAAATAATCAAGTTGATCCTTAGTTGTTTTAGCTTTTAGCTCCATTTAGGATTAAAACGTTCAAATCATATACATTAATGTGTACCTCAAGAGCTCTTCTATCTACGGGAGATTACATTGTACATTTTAAGTGACTACACAACAATTTCCTTAGCTTAATCTTTCCTTCGTAATCTTCTTTTAAGTGTCTCATTATCAGCTTTCGGGTAAAAAAAAATTCAAAATTTTAAATCTCAGGCACGCAATCATTCACCTATGAGTTGTTTTTTTAGCACAACAATATTTCTATCGATCCCATAGACATTCAGCTCGATTTTTAAATCAAGATTTATTAATTATTTTTTTTATTTTTGGCACTAAATCTATTAATGGACAGTTCGCTATCATACAAAGTCCTACCAAGGAGTGCTTGGATGGTGATTTTTTTGGTGTTGTGAATGTTAGTGCGGGATAATAAATGAGAATCTCAAGGAATGCTCAATACATGAGATTTCAGAATGATTTTCATTACAATTCGTTTAACTGTCCATAGTTTACAGTTTGGAGTTTGTCGTTGATGGCCTTCATTACACTCTAGTTAATTTTTGTTTTGTTTTCCGTCGATCTTGTTTTCCGTACTGAGTACCAATGCTACCGACGCCAGGAGGCAGCTCCCACACCTGGACCCTACCTATAGACTCATCAACGCATGAACCGGGGACCAACGACTTTACTTCCCTTCCCGAAGGAAGGCGTGATCAGAGATTGTATGCCTCAGAAAATCCCTACGGTGGCAGAGAGACAATCACGCTTATCAATACACCACCGACGCAGTTAGTTAAATATTTGGTTACGTATGATCTTAAATGTTCAGCTTAAGGTAACGCCGCATGTATAGCAACTCATAAGTTAAATGACACAGTGACAAGCGTAATACGCCCGATTTGACCATCATTCATCGTCGGCTCGGGTAGGAACCGGCTCGCTCAGTTTAACCCGACAGAATCACCCGATTAGCCACTTTGCAACCACCAGTCGCCATCATTGACTATTTCTACTGATCCTCGACCAATGCCGGTTCTTGCGGTCAGTTAAACGGACATATCTATCGCCTTTTGAAATTGTATTACTACCACTCGATACAGTCCAGCTATTGCATCTGTAGCCACCCGGTGTTCTCCTCCGTTGGTCTGTTCAACGTTCATACGAGATCCGTAGATGAATAGAGTAGTCTGTTTCTCCACCCGTCTAGATCGTGGTGAACACCATCCGTCGGCCACGACGTTTGTCTATGGTGTCTACCGTGAATGATGCAACAGAAGTTAAGATTATCATGATAAATTATAGTTTTTTTTATATCATTTATCATCCAATCTTCCTACGGATCTCACACCGCAGCGACAGATTTTTTCTCAGTGGTCATCCCAGTGCACTATCAAATCTTCCTGCAGGTGACTTACACCGTTACCACAGATTCCTTTGCCAAGTGGCCGTCCCAGCTCACTATCAAATCTTCCTGCGAGTTATTTTTTTCACTCCGCAGTGACAGATTTCTTTTCCAAGTGGCCGTCCCAGCGCACTATCAAATCTTCCTGTGGGTGTCTCACACCGCAGCGACAGATTCCTTTTCCAAGTGACCGTCGTAGGATTTTTTAAAATTCTTTTATGCTAGTCACTGATTTTTGTGCACTATAATGGTAAGCTTTTTTGTCTATATATAGTTCTATTTTTGTCAAGCGTGGCAAAACAAAACAAAATCAGGAAATATTTTGTTTTCGAAGCAGAACAAAAAATGGTCTAGATCAATATTTTATTCGATACTGTTTTGCCTTACCTTAAACAGTGACCTTAAGGAGTAAATCTATAGTAAATTGAATTCAGTTTAATTGCATTTTAACTGTATTTAAACAGATTCATTGCATGCGTTCATACTTGTCTTGTGACGTGCGTCCCACAGCACCATCAATGATCAATCATTGGTAACGTCGTGAGATCAGGATCTGTCCTCTTCTTTTCAAACATGCATTCGTCCCGAAGCACTTTTAGATAGTGAGAGAGTAATTGTTGCTTCGACACGAAAACCAGAAGAAAACAAAATGACAGCCTTGTTGTTTTTTTTAAATGGCCCGTTATTGCTACTCAAAAGAATTTACGCGTTACTGAATTTCCAATATCGTGTTCGTCCCAAAACACCTATCTATGATAAATATCAATGCGAAAGAATCTTCAAGATCCGTCAAACCTCTAGGTAAACTTTAACAAACGCTATCACCAAATGCTGGTTTTTCTTAAAATCATTTTTTTCTTCTTTGTGTTCGTCCCGAGACGTTCGGAAGGAAAATAAAATGGCCGTCCCGGAACAGTTTTCTGACTTGTCGCTTCAAAAATACTTCCAGCGTGCGTCCCGCTACGCCGATGATTTACTAATTCCGCGTTCGTCTCGAAACGCTTCCATTTTTGGTGGGGAAGGTACTCGTCCCGAATACCTCCATTGAATTACTTTTCGCATGGAGCAGGCGGCGATGAAAAAGGGAAAAAATGGCTTACCTCACTGGATTGCAGAGATGAAAATATAAAAACAAAAACTTCCAGTTGCACTATCCGACACTTTTTTTTTAAGCACTCACAAATTGTCAGCTTTCTGTCTGTTTTCCTGTGATGGGCGATTCCCGGGTGGTTAAAACTGTAGGTTCTATCGAACTTTAAGGCCAAATAATAATAATTATGGCAGGATCGCCACTGTGGAATCTCCGATTGCCGCCGGAAGAAATCGCCCAGCCCAGGAGACAGACTGACGCACGACTTACTCTCACGGTGGTTTGGGAACAAAGAGGAAGAGACACGATGCTACAGTCTCTTGTGCCGTTGGCTCGGTGGAGGGTATGTGGTTGTGTGAGTGTGTTTCCTCAACTATTCGTTCTGCAAGGGATGGAATCTAGGGGGAACAATGTAGTACACATCAAGGTGTATCCCACACCCACTTCATTTTTATTCAGTTCCGGTCGAACGTTCACATTATTTCAACAGCATTGCGGCACTGTATGAAAGTCATTTGAAGCCGTTTGAAACCACTCAAAGAAACATGGTTGCCTGTGACATTGCCAAAAGATTCATCAAAAACCGTGCTGCTGTTTTAACAGAAATTTTCTTTGCGCGTCTCCATCAACGTCTCTGGATAGAGCGGGTCAAAGTAGTTTCCATTTACTTGAGTGCAATTCACATGGAATTTTCCACCAGCTTTCTACCCAAAAGTATGTTATTTGCGTTGCGTTGCGTTTGTAACGGAGTAATTCGTAGGTTGCATACTGGCAACTGCCATGTATCTACTTTAACTTTCTTATTCTAATGGCTTAAAGAAAATTATTTGGGAATAAGTAGCTCTCCAATCAGAATTCAGAATATGAAAAACATAACAATTACCATTGCCAGCCACGCCCATCCCAAGTAACAATTTTGGTTTTATTAGGGTTCTGAAGACTATGATTTAGACTTGTAGCATGCTTTAAAACCTCGACAAAACTTGAAATGTTACTTGGGATCTTCTCCGTTACGGGGAAAGGAAGGATATTGTTGATGTAACATCTACTTAACAGAAGGCCAGCGACTCACCGACGCCCCCATAGATGTGACGAAGTTGGATAGTTGCGTAGGAGATCGATCAGGATTCGTTTAAGCAGGCGATGCAACAATAGCAATTGTTTTGTTTTGGAGGAGCTTGGAAATAAACCCACGATCTTCTACTCAGTAAGCAAAAGCGGTAGCGGTCAGCGGCTAGCCAAGCTTCTCAATTTTAATTCCAATACTGTTAAAAATAAAATGTAAACAAACAAAAAGGAAGGATCTCACCCGAATGATCAAATTTACTCCTATATATGGCTGAATTATCTATGATTGAATAACTATTATTTATGATAATTACAGGAAAACATAAAATAAAATATTCACAAACAAAACGTGACTATAACCAAGTAACATTTGCAAGTTTTATGGAAGTTTTAAAGCATTCTACAAGTCCTAATCATGGTCTCAACAAGATATTCCCACAAAAGTATTTCACGCAGCTATTTTTAAGGATACACTTTTTTTCTTTTTATTAGGCCTATGGACATGCGTAAGCTTCGAAACTTCTAACCAAACTAGGTAATGTAACAGATCACAAAAAAAAAAAACCAAAAACTTAAAACGTTTCAAAATCAACTAAAAGCTAATAAATTTAAAGAAAAACAAAAAATTATTTTACGCGAAAACGAGCATTGAATCTTCTGCATCGTATGTTTATTTACTTCAACAAAAATAATATGCAAAAATAAAATAACATTATGTAAAAGTTTTAGAAGATCCTAGCAACAGTGAGATTTCTCGGTCGACAGCATTAGTGACTTTTGAACAATTAAAAGAATCAAACCCAAAAACAAATGCACCGACCAATCGTGGTCCTACGTCAAGTTTCCGTTCGTGACCCTAGGCACAGACTCTACTACCTTTTAGAAAATTGTAGATTTAAAAAAATGTACCCAAACATGAAGTTTTTTTTATTTATATTTGAAAGTACGTCAGGTAGGAATTCATTTTTTACAAATTTATTTAAAACTTAAAACGAGAAGAAGAAAAAACATGCAACATGTTACCTTTTTCCCCTAACACCAACGAAACTACCAAAATATTTGTATTTCTTTCCGCGACTGCCGTAGAATCCCGATGCACGCGAGAGAAATCGCTTCAAATACAAATCATTTAGATCTGAAAATAGTTAGCTAAAAATCAGTTTTCACACTTACCAATGGTTCTTCCTTCCCACGCATTCCTAGATAACTAGTAAATGGACCCCGTTTGCGTCTTTCGTTATATCCATCTATGCTGTCCCTTTTACCGCGTAGCCCTGCGAAATAGGTATATACAAATAATGAGAAAATGATATAAAAGTGAGTCTTACCAATCATACTGGTGAATGTTACCAAGTGAGCATTAAAACGCAGTCGTAATCTTCCCCCATATTAGAGAAATAAAGGGTCACAATAATATTTACGTCAGAGCCTAACTAGCTCTCTAATGTCATGGTCTAGTTGAGAAAATTACATTTGCAAGTAAAATTTGTTGTGTTTATTTGGTAAAGCTGATTGTAAAAAAATAAAACTTTGCTTTGCCACAAGTCTTTGAAACCAGTTTACAATTAATTGAGACACTTTTCCAAAACCTTCGTCGGATGGGTCGTGAAGAGTTCTTCTGATGTTTCCTGGTGATGTTTTACGATGGGCTTTATCCTGTGCGCTCAACTTCTTTTATTCTTCCAACCATTTTTACTTCATCAGTGCCGCTCAGCCATGTGCTCTTCAATTTTATTCACTCATAGTGCACGGACAGAAAATTGTTTGCATTGAACCAAAAAAAATCTTTAGTTGTATTTAACAAACAATTCCTGTTGAAGTTTTATTGCATTTTATTGTTTCGATAATAGGTACTTATTCACAAAAATTCAAAATAATATTCTTTTTGTTTTGATCTCGGTTTTTAATAAGCCACTTTGCAATTGCAACTATTGGAAATATAACAATATTCTTTTATTAATCCAACAATAATTAGTTTTAATTAAGCATTAATTTGTTGTGTCCATTCCCATTCCATTGTCCATTGCGTAACGCATGAATGCAAAAATAACTACCAACCATTATCTCGTTTTCACCCGGAAAAAATGTAAACAATAACAAAACTGTGCGGAGAAGAACCAGCCTACGGCTAAAAATCTCATAAATAACAAAAAAAAAAAAAAACAAAACAAAACTGTTCTCGTTTGAATTTAGCTATATTTTTTCCACGTTCCACGTCAATAATGTGAATTTCGGGAAATAAGTGCAAGATGTTAGAAAATATTGAGACATGAGGTCAGTAATTATGCTGCAATTGCTAAATATAAACAGTTTTTCAGTTTCTAAAATTTATGGGAAATTAAAGAAATTTGTTTGAGAAGAAAAAATACAGCGATGTAGTTTTACCAACCGGTGGAAACTAAAGGTCTGCTTAGACTATCTGATGTCTTGGTCTGATTTTGACCGCCGCTAGAATGAAAAATCTGCTCTAATTTACTTTTGACACACTTTGTCGAGCCCCTTGTTTGTTGGTGTACACACTGCTTGCACATGTCAAAATAACTGTCAATTTAGATTTCAAAACAAAACTGTATCAGGAATCAAAAGTAAATACTTCCATTATGAATTACCGAAAAATTGCTCTAACTTCGGCAAACGTATATACTTTAATTATTTTAAATATAATGAGAAGGAGAAGGTGAACTTTGTGGAGTAGGAAATGGTTGCTCAGGAGGAACAGGGGTCTGGCTCATCTTGTCCTTTAAGAGCTGCGATATAAACATGAAAATGGATTTCAAAACTTCGCCAGGATTTCGATACCAACTTTCGACAAGCTAGTGGGAAAAGTTGTTTATAGATCTACTGATTCCTTGAGTTCTGAAAATTTCTATAAAGAGCTCAATTCTGCATATTTCTTTGAAGACCTTCGGACGTACCTGAATTTTGTTTCTGTTCTCCGGTAAAATATGTTTAAAGATCAACAAACTTTCCTGAAGATCTGCAAATTTCTCGGCAGTTCTTCGGAAGATGTGTGTGTTCTTTAGAAGTTCTGCAAATTTGACTAAACATTTACAATAATCCTGAATCCCTGAAGATTTAAGATCCGTAAAGATCAACAATTATCTCTGATGTTCACAAAATTTCTAATAATCTGCGAACTTCTCGAAAGCTCTGAAATTTTCTCTGTAGATTTACACAATTCAATGAATATCTGCAAATATCTCTGAACATCCACACAATTTTCTAAAGAATTAAAATATTTTCTAGAAATTTTTGAGCTTTCCGGAAGTTTTAGGAAGTTTTCTGAAGTTTTACTAATTATTCTGAAGTTTTACAAATATCTCTAAAGATCAACGAACTTACATGAAGTTCTGTAAATTTCACTACAAGAACCAAAATAAAATTCTGAAAATTTATTTAAACATCAGCAGATTTTTCAGTAGATTTACGATCTACCATCTGAACTTTTCAGAAGTTTCTTAAATTTCTTTAAAATTCTGTCAAGTTTTATGCAATATTGTATTTCTGCTCTGAAGATCTACGAACTGCTCTGAAGTTCAATAAATTTCTCAGTAGATCTCCGTTCTTCTCTAAAGTTCTAAAATTTCTTTGTGGATTCTTCGACTTCCATAAAATTCTGCAGATTTATCAAAAAATTCGGTTACCTGACTAGAGATACTGTGTAGTGTGAATTTATTGATTTAAAGATTTGCTTTGACTTTGAGGGTTTTTATTTAACAAATTGGTGTGTTGGTGGGATTGAGTTCGATTTCTGTAGTCTATTTTTCTGTTTGTGGGTGTGGGTAAAATTAACTGTGTTCTTCGGTACGTACCACTGCTTATTCTGATGATATGGCGACGTCCTGCGAGCGCTAGCTGCTGCTGCTGCTGCTGCTGCTACTGTTGCTGATGACGAGCTGGCAAGCTGATTCCCAAAACAGTGGGTAATTACCGTTTAACCGCACGATGGTTTGGCGGGGTTTGTCGATGGTGTGTAGCTGTGTAAGTCTTTCAGGTGTCCTCCCTCGTTGACGGAGATTGACACGGCCCAGGACGATACCAGACTGACCGTGTCAAGAGGGGGAATGCTCCTTTACGTTTAGGGGTTTCGCCCCCGAGCTTGAAAAGCCTCCTTACGGGCGGCTGACCCAGAGGTTGGAATTGGTCCTATGTGGTTAGACGTAGCAAACCGAGGTCTACTACGCTGAATCGTGTGCACCTGGTCGAGCGTATGACTAGACAAAATGGCGACTTTCAGTCGAATGAACAGAATACAAAAGGTCCTGACGAATCCGCCGTCTTTTCCCTTTTTCGCCGGATACCACTCACATAGCAATGTGAAGGACACTTTATAATATGTCTCTTGTGCACACGAACGCCTGTAACTTTATGAGCAATGACGCTCCTCCTTATTCTCTTCAACCCCGTTGTAGCTTCTTTTTTGCTGCCTGTGAGGTTGGGGGGGGGGGGGGTTGTTATCACCACCTTTGTAGATTTTGACCCACTTCGCCTGCTTGTCTACTCTTCTATCATTTAGTTGTTGTACCCACTGGCTTACATGTGATTCATCCCACTTATTTTGTACAAAATTCAAATTCTACTAACCTATAACATTTTTAATATACGCTAGGTACATTTTTACTAACATTTACTAACCTATAACATTTTTAATAGACAATAGCTACATTTTTATTAACATTTACAAGCCCTACTACTAACCCTAAAAATACTAACAATTTGTAACAGTCGGTTATACTATCCCGCACCTCGGCAAAATTAATGATTAACTAAAAGTTGACATTTATTTTACCTAGAAACTAGCTAACACTCAGTACAAACAATTAGATAGTAAAATTCAGTACAAACAATTAGACAGTAAAATTTTCAAATAATCAACAATAACAATTTCGTTAAATTCCAATACTTGTTGTAGACCATTACATTAAGACATTAAATTAATCAGCAACTAAAAGCTAAATTTCAAATAAAATTTTCCATAATATGCCAGGAGTGATTTTGTTTTGTGTACATGTGAGTCTGTTATCACTTATCAGGATCTACTACTTCTTTTTTTTAAGACGTTTAACGACTTTATTCGTGTTTTCGGATTTTGGGTTCTCGGGTCTACTATAGCAGAAGACTATTCAGTTTACCTGTGTCTTTGATCCCGCGCGTACCGTATTCCTGATGTAATGTGGATACAGTGAAGCTGTAAAATGCTACGTTTTCTGGGGTTATTGCTATTAATGTAATTGGTGATAATCTTGATTAAAAGATGAGATAATTTGCTTCCGTTCCTTCCTATGTTAGGCTGACGAAACAGTTTCTTTCTAGGTTTATTCACCAGTTGGCCACCTGGTTTGAGGGAATAACCCTAGCAACAATTATATTTCGTGGTATAATGTCATCTAATTATGTATTTAGGTAAGTCGCAATCTATTCTCGTACGTGAATATTTCTCTATCTCGACCATTGCCATCTCTGTTACTGAGAGGCACTAGTCTTCTTCCATGCCTTGGCTTTTGTTTGTGCACTAACAAAAGCCTATCGTTTCCTTTTCAATCCGGACTGAAATTATCGGTAACAATATTTATATATTTTTCTCTTTCTCTTTTTCAGCATCCCATCTTCATCAGCGATGGTCCCACCAGACTGCTGAGATGACGTTGATGATAAGGTGCCATAAAATTCATCCTCCCTGGTGAAGACGTACATGAACACTCACGAGTACTATTTACATTGAGAGACGACTTCACGAATCAGAATCACAACAAAATCGACGATTACCTATTTTGGAAAACAATACTAACGATGATGTTGACGACGCTCTCACATGACGAAACCATATATCTCATATCAATAACAGGCAAAACTGGACATCACACGAAAACGGAACTAATGTAGCCTTTGGACACTATCATATGACCAATGGACTTAATTTTCACACGTGTCTTAATGCTACACGTGTTAGTACGGTAAGTTATTTCTGATTTAGTCGCAATTTAAGACGAGGCAGAAATTACAACTCTTTTTTTTAGGAATCAGCCAGAAGAATGACGTAGAGTCACGTTGTCCGGACGGATATCACTGGCTGAAAAAACTATCATGCATGGAGTGAACAATGGCCCATATTTCGCATTGTAGTGCTCAACAGCGGACGATTGACGGAAATTCCGTTTGTAAACCTTCTGGCCGACCTCATAGGCTGGTGCAAACTTCTTGAACCGTAAGTTGTACACTTTCCTTTGCTTGTCGTCACTTTTCTGGAGATTTTTCTTAACGACTTCCAATAAAT